CCCTGTTATAGGAAGGATATTATTAAGCTAGAGAGGGTTCAATAGAGATTTGCCAGGATGTTGCCGGAGGGTTTGAGTTATAAGGAGAGGCTGGATAGGCTGGGACTTGCTTCACTGGACTGTAGTGGGTTGAAGGGTGACCTTATAGAGTTTTATAAAATCATGAGGAGTATTGATAAGGTGAGTGGGAGGTGTTTTTTCTCTAGGGTGGGGGATTTCAAGACATGGGAAATGCTTTTAAGGTGAGGGAGAAAGATTTTAAAAAGTCATGAGGGGCAATTTTTTTTACACAGCGTGTGGTTCGAATGTGGAATGAATTTCCAGAGGAAGTGATGGATGCAGGTGCAGTTAAAATGTTTAAAAGACATTTGCATAAGTACATGAATAAGAAAGGTTTGGAGGGATATGGGCCAAGTGCAGGCAGGTGGGACTAGTTTAGTTTGGGACTGTGGTTGGCATGGACTGGTTGGACCGAAGGATCTGTTGCTGTGTTGTATGATTCTATGATTCTGTCCATTGAGTTCATGGCCTCTGCAGAATCTGGTTCCCCTGAACCTGAAGACGTTCTGTCCCTATGATGAACAAGAAAAGGACAGGGTTTCTTTTTGCTATTCTCCAGATGATTAGAGTGAAAGCAAGGATGAACCTGCATTTCCACACTGTTTTTGACAACTTCAGGATGTCCCAAAGCATTTTGCTGCCGATGAAGCAATTTTGAAGCGTGTTTACAAGAGCCATGGCAACTAAAACCAACACTGTGATGATTACCAAATAATCTGTTTCTTTAAGTGAGGTGATTTGAAGTGTAAATATAAAACAGAACACCAAGGACATTTCTCTGGTTTTGATTAGTGCAAATGGATTTCTTAGATCAGAAAGACAGCATCTCTGACAATGCAGTGCTCCCTCTGTACTGCATGGAATGTCAGCCTAGACTATGGGTTCAAGTCTCTAGAGTGGAATAAATACAGAAAGTTTTGGAAAAGTTCAGCATGTCTGTGCATGGGGGAACAGAGTTGGTGTCTTGAGGCAAACATGATCATCTTTTGAACTGTCTCTGGAGTGGGACCTGAGCCCATAACTTTCTGAAACAAAGGTGAGAGAACAACCCCCTGAGTCCAGGCTGAATTCATAGTGAATTTTGGTGTGTACTTAGAAAGCACACAGTTACCAGTTATTAAAGGAGAAATTAGAATCTAGCTTTTGTCATGCTGTGTTGTAATTTAGTGCAATGAGCTCGCAGTCACTGGATGGGAGAGTGAAAATGGGAGATGGTAAAATTTGCGTGTTTATTAACATTTTATGTTCATTTATTTTATGATATTTATTTATGTTCATCATTTCAAGAAACAACAATACCTTATATTTACATAGCATTTTTAAACAAATAAAATTTTCCAAAATGCTTCACAGAAGCCTTATTGTCATCAAAGAAAGTTCAACTCTGAGCCACATACAGAGTCTAAGGCTTGAGTCTGAAGGAACGTGTCAAAGGAGGAAAGAGATGCAGAGAGGATTAGGAAGCTTAGTGTCATGACAGCTGAAAGCATGGCTGCCAGTGGTTGGATAAAGGAGATTGAGTATCAGATTCTGTGCTAATTGCTCCAGTGGAATGTTTTGGCTTTTTGAACTTGTATCTATGGGAATAACTTATCAGATACCCACTTCAACAAGTTAATATCTTTTGACGTGTGCTGGGTGGCTGTTCAAAGCTTTAGCCAGTGCCTATAATATGTCCAAGCACTTTTTACAAACACTGAAGTCAATTGTAGATACTGGTGAGGCAGTGGTCTATGCGGACATTCCAATTAACAGCAGACATAAGCCATTTGGCCCTCAAGCCGACTTTGCCATTCAGTAAAATCACGGCTGAATGCGTTTAGAATTTCATATTCCTGACTATTCCCAATAACCTTTGATTTCCTTGCCTGACATGAAATTATTTACTTCCATCTTAAAAATATTTATTAACTCTGCCTCCATCATTTTCTAAGGCAGAGATTTACTCTGGGATTGGGCCTCCATTATTCACAATATTCATTAACAACTTGGATAATGGCATAAAAAGTCAAATATCCAAATTTTCTGATGACACAAACTTGGGCAGCATTGTAGACAATGTTGACAACAGCATAAAATTATTTCAGGATGCTGATAGATTGGATGAATGGGCAAAGCTGTGGCAGATGAATTTGAATATAAGCAAGTGTGAGGTTATCCATTTCAGACAGATAAAGGATGGATCAGAATTTTTTTTTTAGAATAAAGTTAAATGCGGTGGATGTCCAATGAGATTTGGGGTTCAGATGCAAAGCTGTTTAAAATGCCATGAGCAGGTGCAGAAAATAGTCAATGGAATGGTGGCCTTCATATCTGAAGGGCTGGAATATAAGGATAGGGACATTATGCTGCAGTTAAACAAAACCCTAGTTAGACCCTAATTATAGTACTGTGAGCAGATCTGGATACCACACCCTAGGAAGGATGTTTTGGCCTTGGAGGGAGTTGGGTTTACAGGAATGATACCTGGGCTTCAGGGGTTAAATTATGAGAAGACATTATGCAAATTAGGCCTTTATTCTCTAGAATTTAGAAGGTTAAGAGTGATATAATTGAGATCTTCAGGAAATTAACAGGGAAACATAGTGTAGATAAAAATAAACTATTTCCACTGGTTGATGAGTCTAGATATAGGGACATAGTCTCAGAATTAGGGCCAGGCCATTTAGAAAATACTGCGAAATGCAAAGAATAGTGGAGGTTTGGAACTCTCTTCCCCAAATGGCAGTTGATGCTAATTCAATTGTTAAATTTAATTCTGAGATAAATGATTTTTTATTAAACAAAATTTCATCAAGGGATAGGGGCCTAAGTCAGGCATCTGGATTTGGGCACAGATCGGCCATGATCTTGCCTGCTCTGCCATTCAGTAAGAAGGTCTGAGTGGCCTACTCCTGTTCCTATGACTTCTGGCTGGCAGAAGGTGAGTTTTCTGCTCTCTGGGTTTGTTCAGCCTGGGTTAGGCCCCACTGCTGCCCAGTTAAGTGCCTGATTGTCACTTAGTTCTTCAGGTCTTCCTGAAAAGAGGCAGTGGAGGGCTCTCGCTGACTCTCCAATTGATAGTTTGATCCCTGTCACCTCCTCTACCACCTTTTGTGTCATTTTTCCCAACTTGAACAAAGTTCATTTTCTTTTGTTATACAACATGTTTGTAGTAGCTACTGGGATATCTCATTATCCAGATTGATATGTAACCAGGTTTCACAACAACAATGATTACTCTTCATACTACTTCATTGTGTTACCCAAAAAACTTTGGTAACCCCATTTTCTTCTACATCTACTTCAGGAAATACTTTTATCAAAAATCCGTAACAAATTAACTTTAAAATCCCCATTATTTCTACATACGCCATTATATTTCCATGCATGTCTGTTTGTTTAACAATTCTCGTCTCCACTAGCTCTTGTCAGCATTTGCCATTACCTAATCTCTACCTTTGTTGCTGCTATAATCATCCACATCACTGGTCCCCCGTTACCCCGATCACACCCATATCAATCGTGATCTGTGGTTACTAACACCTCCTTCCCCATATCAATAGTCTCCCATGGATTTCCATCCTTCAGCTCACCCAGTATTCTCTGCTCAGCATCTGACCCCGCACCCTTCTACACCTGAACTACATCACTTCCAATCTCCCAACAGCTCTGATTTACAATTTTTCTCCTCTAATCTAAATCTCATCAGGACTTTACACAGTCTATGACCAGCCCCGTTACCCTCCCTAAACTCTGTACCTGTAACTGCAGGCTTTTCTACATTCCTTGTTCTTTTTGCCTAACCTATGTGGCCTAAGGGCTGACCATCAAGGCCAGGGACTGTGGAGTTCCCTACCATAACTCCTTCACCACTTTCGCTTCTCTTTCAAGATCAATCTCTTAGGCTGATCTGTTGGACTGAGCTCCTAATGGACTGTGCTTTGGTGTAGTTTCCATTTTAATTGCTACACTTTGTGGGCCACTTCAAATCATTTTTCTACACTAAAGGTCTATATAAAAAGAAGCTATTATTATTTTTCTAAAATAATTTCCTTTCCACTGATATAGATTACTTATATCCACTTACCATCCACACTTACACCCAGACTTTTACTTAAGTCAGACAAATGCCATCTGTTTTCCACTACCACAGAAGCTAATTGCTTAAAACATATGAATCATGCTGACCATTCAGGCAGTTCAGTTAGTACATAGCCTGTACTTAGCAAGTTTATTGAATTCAGACAAAGTTGTGTCTCTGAACAATTTCACTTAGTTGTTCAACATTTTGCTGAAATGTGGTTGGTGATAAGATTCTGATTGGGCAGCGTGGTGGCTCAGTGGTTAACACTGCTGCTTCACAGCACCGGGGACTCTGGTTCGATTCCAGCCTTGGCTGACTGTCTGTGTGGAGTTTGCACATTCTCCCTGTGTCTGTGTGGGTTTTTCTCCAGGTACTCTGGTTTCCTCCTACTGTCCAAAGATATGCAGGTTATGTGTGTTAGCCATGGGAAATGCAGGGTTACAGGGATAGGGTAGAGGAGTGCGTCTGGGTGGGCTGCTCTTTGGAGGGTTGGTGTAGACTTGATGGGCCAAATGGCCTGCTTCCATACTAGGAATTCTGTCATTGCTACTGGGTAACAGTTAAGTGAGGCACTAGCCAAATGTGGACCTCCTGTCTTGTTCTTTAAAAATAAACTATTGGTTACTTAACTTACTTTGCTTTATTGTCCTCCAATTTATAACCAACAGATCAGGTTAACACCAACACTGCTCATACTGTGAGGAACACAGCTGCCTGGCCTGCTGTGTTCCTCCAGCTCCACACTGTGTTATCTCTGACTCCAGCATCGGCAGTTCTTATTATTTCATACTGTGAGGACTGTTTAGTGATTTGGCTGAACTGTACAGTTTATTTGACATTAGTATTAATTATAATTGTGGCACCTTTGTTACAGGAAATAAAAGCTGAACTATTGGACCAGAGTAAAGATCTCAACATATTAAATCAGTTGGCTGAAGAGCTAGGGGGATGCGCTACGGAAGAAGAACGGACGTGGATCCTCAACAATGTCAATGCTCTGTCAAAGCATTTTCAAGAACTGGAAGAGACCACCAAGAAAAAGTGAGCAGCAAACATTTAATTTTTGCAGCTAACATTTTATCAACATTGCCACCATGACAGTTTTTTTTTCCCCTTGTCGGTGACTGACGCTAGTATTGTATTTTCACGAATGTAATCTGTTGGGCGTGTCTGATTGAAGGACAAAATTGCAGAAACTCAGTCGTAATTTAACGAGCTCTGAATAAAATCTCACAATATTTATCAGTATTCAAAATCTCTGACTTCACCCCTGAACTACATACCTCCCAATCTCCCAACAGTTCTCATTTACAATTTTCCTCAAATCTAAACCTCTTTGGGACTTTACACAGCCTAAAACCAGCCCTTCATACCTATGACTATGGCCTTTTCTACATTCCCTGTTCTTTTTGCCTAACCTACATGGCCCTCAGTCCAAAATAAACACCACAAAAGACTGAAGTTCACAACGAGCTAGAGTCTCCTTGGATCTGGTTTAATCTTGGATCTCGGAGTGTCTGTTCACTCAGTCTCCTGTCCCGTGCACTCAGTATGTGGTCTCACACTCATCCCCTCATCCTGGCATTGTTACTTGAGACTCCCTTCCACTCCACATGTGTCTCTATCATTTTCATTGTCTTTTTCTTCTTTCTCTCTTCTCTTGCCTCTGTCTCTAACTATCCCCCTCATTTACATTCAGTCTCACATCTCCTCATACACTCTGATTCGCACAATTTGCCTTTCTGCCCCTCTTTTTGGCCATTTCACTGTCACACTCTCCTTCCAATTTGTCCTTACATGTTCATCTTTGTTATTTCAGTATTTTAGTTCCACTACTCAAATATTGTCAACTTGTTCCTTCCGCTGTGTGCAACGCTTTTCATTCCCATTTTAAATATTCAAGTCAATGTTTCTGCTCTATTGTACATGTACATTGGGATAGAATTTTGTAGGTGTGACATGCGGGTTAATTTAACTAGTTTCGACATCAATCTTGTTGACTATGACTTGTGTCAAAATGTCCTGAGAATGTCGTCAGCACATGGCAGGCAGAGAATACAAACCAAAGCAAAAATATGGAAATGGACTTCACCAGGTTGGGTAGGAATAAAATGTAGCGAGAAATCATGGTGGTTCTTGCTGATATGGTTTGAGTCCATCAAACCCTAATTTAACTGATGGAGTAGGTTGCACTCTTTCAGACCTTACTGATAGACACCAGTGTCTGTCATCCACCACAACTAAATAAAAAGTGTGAAGAAAGGTTTATTTCATTTTTCCACCCCCATCAAGGTTTAGTGTGATTAATTAATGGAAAGATCTATGACTACTGCATTCCAATTGCAATGAATCAGAAGGCAGATGATGCAGTGGTCTCAGACAATGGACTGAGATTCCTGCTGATGGGTTAAGGAAAAGTTGCTTTCTGCAATCTTGGACTTCACAAATTATATTTAGCTAAAGCTATTGCAAAACTCTGAGTTCTGACACTGAAGCTAGCTGTATTATCGACAGTTGTTATAACTATAAGGGAGTCTCCCTGCTGTTTGTCATAGGGAGATCAGTGCGAGGATTCTTTCTATGACTGGTGTGTGAAATATTAATCAAGGCAATTACAAGGAAATGAAGTGGATTCGTTAAAAGGTGAAAAGGGAAGTTAGCAGAGAAGCAGTGGGATATTTAAGGAGCTATTTCCTAACTCTCCATAAAGAAGTATTCCACTGAGAACAACTCAACAAGGAGGATTAACTGCTCATGGCTATCTGAGGAAGTTAAGGCTGGTATCATATGGAAAGGAAAGGCATACAATGGCATGAAGGTCAATGACAACCAAAAGATTGGGAAAGTTTTAAAAACCAGACCTTAAGAAAAAGGAAAAGAAAGAGAAAAGTAGCAAGAAGTGTTAAAAAAAGACAAATTAAAGCTTCTAAAGTGTATGAAAAGGAAAAGAGTAACTTAAGTGAGCTAAGAAGATGGTATCATGAAAAATTGGTGAATCTGTCCTGGAATGATTTGATCTTTCCCTGTGTTCCCTGTCACCCCATTCTCTCTCTCTCTTCCTTTACTTTTACACTCTTCCCCCACACACGTTTTCTCTTATTGTCTCCAACCCTCCAATTTTTCTCAGTTTTCCTTTCCTTTCTGTAAGTTATTTATTTCAAAATATTTCTTCCTCCTGATTGTGTTCTAATATCTGGTGACATGCACCTTCTTCTCTTAACATGTATTTTCTGATTCTTTGAATTTTTTCAACCTTTTCTTCACTTTCTAAATCTTTATCCCACGATATCTTTTCTCGTATCTTTCTCGCATTTAAGGTTTTAGCAAAGATTTGTAGCTCGGGTTGTGGGTGAGGTTGTTGACTTGCTCGCCGAGCTGGCTTTCAATTTCCATTTCAGAGGGCAGTTAGAACTCAACCATCTTGCTATGGGTCTGGAGTCACCTGTAGGTCAGACCAAGTAAGGGTGCCAGATTTTCTTCCCAAAAGGGCATTAATGAAACAGATGAGTTTCTTAGGACAATCAATGACAGTTTCATGGTCACCATTACTGAGACTTATTTTATTGATTGCATTATGTGTTGAGAACCACGCCTCTAGGAATTCCTGTGCATGTCTATGTTTGGCTTGGGCTACAATGGTTACTTTGTCCCAGTTAAACTCAGACTATGAAGGCCATCAGTTTAATCAACATACATATAGATTTGAACCCCATAAATAAACCCATACAGAACAAAACCGGAAATGACATAACTCACCATAACTGACCAGACAGTATAAATACTAAGCGGAGGAGAACAACATCACTTCATCGGAGGCCTCACTGATGATATTACCTAGCATGGTGACAAAACTTCTGAACAAGAACAAGCTAGCTTGATGACCAAGCCAATAACCTCATCTTTCTTCCATTCTTACATGTGTATATCACATATGTTACTTCTCTCGCTGTTGCTTTCTGTCTCACTAATGCTTCTCTTCTTCCATGGAAATCTGGGGTTACATCAAGGCTGTCTAAGAGCTGTAGAAGTAGTCATGTGTCTACCTTGGACTGGGAGTGTTTGTCCCTGCATATAGCCATCACATACCCACTGTTGTATTCTGGAAAGATGGATGGTGAAGAATGGAACTGGAGCCTAATCTTGACATCCTATACCTTTCAGTCTACTCCTACATAAGAGGGGGAAAGATGACTTGGTGGAAATGTCAATTGGTGAATAATCCAGTGGCCCAGGCTAATGCCTTGGAGACATGGGTCCAAATTTCAGCATGTCAATTTGTGGAATTCAAATCCAAACAATAAATCTGGAATTAAAAATAAGCCTCAGTAATGGTGTCCATGAAACTGTCATTGATTGTCCTAAAAACTCATCTGTTTCATTAATGCCCTTTTGGGAAGAAAATCTGGCACCTTTACCTGGGCTGACCTACAAGTGACTCCAGACCCATAGCAACATGGTTGAGTTCTAACTGCCCTCTGAAATGGAAATTGAAAGCTACTCAGTTCAGGATGGGCATCGAGTGCAGGCTTTGTGATCGATGCCTACGTCTCATGAAAGAAGGTGAATCTCCTGTTAATGCCCACCACCTAAACATAACTAAATACTAACTTTTTGTAGTTACCCTTCATTCTAGTTCATGGATTGATCCTAACATACTCACTTCCTTCCTGTGAAATCTTCACAACAGTGTCCAATTAATTTGTGTCAAATATCTGCTCAGTTTGGCTGCAAGCCCAATCCATGAGTGCTGTGATCTAGCCCTTCACTGTCTGCACCTCCCTGACCACACTACTCACATCCACGTTCCCATCGGGATCAACAGCCAGTGGATAATGAATGATTGTGGTATTACTATTGTTCAAGGCTTAGTGGGCGAGCTGATGGGCAGTGAGGATGTCCTAGGGATTAGTGCTGTGGTCAAACTAAAAATATGGCCAAATTTCACAAGCGTTGCATAGCGAGCAAATTCTTAGCTGAATGTTGTAAGTTTAAATTAGTCAGAAATGCTGTTATGTGTAGTGTTTAAAGATATGTCTGGTTCCTGGCTTTATGACTGAAGGACTTGATTGGTTCAAGGGACACTATAACTCGCGTTTCTTAAAAGTCCAGATGGACGTGAGAATGCAATGGTTCCAAAAGCTATGGCTTGTTGAACTTTCTCTTCCTGTTCACTCACTTTCCTTTTATTTTTGATTTGCAGAGAGGAAGAATTATTTTGTTGCCAGCTTCAGGCAGATCAATTTAAAACACTGCTGATGTCGTTCAACAAGTGGGCGGAGGGAATGAACACAAGGATTCCAATTGTAGAGCCAAGTCTAACTACAGAAACTCTTCAGAAGAACTTGTCTAGTATTCAGGTGAGAAATCCTAGGCTGCTGAATTCCGTGTGCTTTGTTCCTTTCACAATGAATAATTTAATCAGTCAAGTAAATCAGCCAAAATTCTTTTAGGACAACTCTTTTCCCTGGATACTTTATGTATTGTATCTCTCTTGCTCAGCAGCTTAAATAACTATTTAAGCTGCTGAGCAAGGGAGATACAATACATAAATAGCTATTTAATCTTTCTCTGCTCACTCATGTATCAGTTCAGGTAGGTAAATGATTTTTTAAAGTGCTTGTGGGATAGATTACACTTAGTGAAGTACAGCTGCGATTTCGTTCGAGTTGATGCTTTAGATGGGAATTATGCAAAATCCCTTGAAAAAGGCAGACTCAATACTTTAACTTCATGCTGCATAAAGTTGTATAACTTTGTATTTATCTGCTTAATAAGGCAGCAGTAATTAGTATTGATAATGCAGTGAAATATTCCAAGGCACTTCACAGGAGTATATCAAATAAAATTTGACACTGAGCCATAAAAGTGATTTTAAAACAAGTGACTCAAAAGCTTGGACCAAGAGGTAGGCTTTAAGAAGGGTCTTAAAGGAGGAAATAGAGTGAAGGTGTTTAGAGCTTGGATCTAGATGACTGAAGGTATGATTGGCACTAGTTACATAATGGAAATCAAAAACATGCAAGAGGCCCTAGATGAAAAACTTACTCTAGCGGTTCATTGGGAACTTGTCAGAATCACTGGGTATAATGGATGCTCTTTCTTGTACCTTTAAAAGTATTTGGTGCAATTGAGGGAATTTCTGTGTGTATATTTGATTACTAGTGCCCAGTGCATTTTCTAGCGTGGAAGAATCACCCTCTGGGGCAGCAATGTAGTTGGGCTGAATTTGATATTCTGTTTCAGGCCAGTAGATTTGACATTTGCACATTCCATTATTATCCTGTAAAAGACATTCCAGCCATCTTAGAGGTTAACCAGTGAACGTGAAGCAGAATGGACAATATGGAATTAAACATTTATTGCAGCTAAGCGTATTGCAAATGTATGTGACTATTGTGAATGTGGCATTATTAAGTGGAAGAAGCAAATACAAGAGTAACTTTGAAATAAGAATCAAGTCTGTGTATACATTAATATACATTTCTATACATTTATAAAGGTAAACATTTGCATGGCTATGGGAGAGAGCCAAGGTGTGGGATTGTTTGAATAAGTCTTTCTCAGACCTGACCAAGGCTTGATGGGCTGAATGGTCTCATTCTTTGGGCTGTATAATAGGATAGTTTTGTTTCTGTTATTCATTTTTGCTATTTTTGCACTAAGAAATTACATTATTAATTCAACAAGTTGGTTTACTTAAATACAGCTTTTCATCTTGCATATTTAGGGCATGCTCAATGAGTGGTCATCGAAAGCTTCTGAAGTTGAGGAAGTTAATCAGAAAGGATCAGCCTTGTGTCACTTAATCAATACACTGACTTCTCCAGCCCGTTCAAGGACGACATTCAAATCAGGTAAACCATCACAACAGAACATTGCATGCATTGTTCTGACAGATGCTTTAATCAGCTCAGTTTCCCTTTTCTTAAATGCTTCAATTGTTTAATAACTAGAACTCAGTGACTGATGACTGGAATGAAGATCATTTGTTAGAATTTTCAATCTGATTACAGGTTTATTTTGTAAACCAATCCAGCAAATTGCAAACAAGGTGATTTTGACAACTTTCAGTCAGTGATGTATGAAGTGTAGTGAATGGATTCTTGCCACAACAGCTCATTTATGGGAATGCCATGTATTGGCATTATTTCCAATTGGGCATGTGTTCTACTATGTGTCTATCATTAAACGCATATATTTACCAGAATAATGTTTCTAGACAGAATTCCCTATGTTTCTACAATCCAGTGCTACTATTAAGCATACTTTCTTTGGCATTTTCATTTCACGGATTTGTGGTTTAATGAGCTGCTGTAATTCAATTTTAAATAAAATGTCTGAAGATTTTGATTAAACAATGTGTTAATCTAACACAAATATCCTTGTGATGTAGCATCAAATATAAAATCTTAATTCTCCAGGGCTTTACATATGTTTTTATAATTTACCCAGTTCAAGGCTTTATATTTATTACTATTCTTTCTGTGGAATCCTGCTTTATGCAAATTAACCAACAGCTAGCTTGCTCCTGTTACCATGTTATCAGGAGAATACACTAGGTGCTATATTCACAGATGATTATCCTTCCTATGGAATGCTGTTAAGGCGAAGAAGTTTAAAGTAAGCAATAAGGGCATAGTTTTACTAAACTAATTGAAAGTAGGAGGTTCTGCAGGAAGCCTATGGAATGGCTGCACAGATTGCACAACCCCAGCAGGCACAATGGGAAAGATCTGATACAACTGTTTCACACAAAGGATGGTAGGATTATAGAATGAGTTGCCAGGTAAACCAGTCAAATGAATGGTACATGTGTTGATGTAATCCATTGTTATATTGGAGACTGGAGCAAGGGATATGGTGGGGCAATAGAATGGAAAGAGAAAGCCCTGTAAGGCTAAATGGCTGACAGTTCATGAGCACAATCATCACTGTGCAAGATGATGGAATTTCAGCAACTGTGAATGGTTGGACATGTATGAAAGCTGTCATATATGTTGGAGAATTTCTTTAAAAGTTTCTTTCTGAATTCACAATGTGGATCTCAATAACCTTGAGGTGTTTGACTGGAATGATATGATGTTAACATTTAATCCAAAATGAAGGAAGGCTTTAAAATACATCCATTTAGAGTACCACATTCAGTTTTTGGCACCACTCACCAGGAAGGACATATAGATCTTGGAAGTGATGTTGACACACTAGGATAATACTTTGGTCTAATGGGTAAAATCATAAGCAGCAGTTGCATTGACTAGGTTTGAATTCCCCTCAAGTGTGGAAAATTATCGGATGATCTAATTGAGGTGTTCAAAATCATTGTAGGAATTGATGGAGTAGAAAGAGAGAAACAATTTCTTTTCATGGGGCAGGTGCAGAAGAAAGGTTACATACTGTTAAAAATTAAAGCTCCAGGTGATGTCAGGGAGCCCTTTGTTAAGAAGGGTAGAGGATGTCCCCACCGTCGACTCCAAAAAACTGTTGAGGCTGAGGTGAACAAAGAATGTAAATACTGCAAGTGATTGTGAGGCATTAAGAAGTCCAGAACAAAGGCTAGTAAATGGAATTAGGGTAGAGATCAGCTATGCTCCAGTATCACTAGGCATTCCAACTTGAGTTGCTGTAGGTTATAGCAACAACTTTAACTTGAAGTCTTCTGCTTCAAGCTATGCAGGTATAATGTCCTGAGAAGCCTTTTTGCAATGAATCTTATTTGTTCAAAGTCTTTTGTTGAGTTTCATTTCTCCATAACAAGGTCTTATTTACCCAATATGTTGGTCTGTAGGTACACAAGTGGTGAATGGTGGGGAAGCAGTCTCTGCTATCTGTGATTCCAAAGGTAAGGAAATAACCTTTCAAATCTCATAATTGACTGCAGTCTGATCTTGTAATGAAATATGTAAATGGGTTGTCTGAGAGCATTACTGCTTTTAAAGAAATGGCTCTAAAAGAATTTGGACTTTATAAGTGATACTAGGAACTGCCGATGCTGGAGTCAGAGATAACACAGTGTGGAGCTGGAGGAACACAGCAGGCCAGGCAGCATCAGAGAAGCAGGAAAGCTGACTTTCCGGGTCGGGACCCTTCTTTAGAAAATGGGCCTTATAAGTTGTATTGTTACAAGATCAAAATGTTTCCCGTGTCTCATGTCAACATCTGAATTTATCTTGTATTAAAAGTTAACTGTGAGTGAAACCACATACTAATACGGCCAGAAGCATTCCTGTGGAAAATCTAAGTGTTCCAAGTATTTGTAACTCATTACTATCTCTAATTAATAATTTTAAAAATCTACATTGCGTTTCTTTGTAGTATGAAACAGAGTTAAAACGGTCAATAAATCAATTCACTTTTTCTGTAGATATTTTAAACAGAGATGCTGTATAAAGGTAAGTCGTCATAGTCATACTCTGATTAGAGAGACAACTGGTGGTGGTTTAACCTGAGGGTCACTGTGCCTCAGGTGAGGGGAGAGGTTGACAAAAGAGAATCCTTCATGGTAACCTCAGCCAGTGCAGGAATTGAACCCACTCTGTTGGCGGCACTCTGTATCACAAACCAGCCATCCAGCTATGTCACCCAACCATTCCCTAGATGCTGTATACACTCAGTCCTAAGTTGTAACGCAGTTGTTTCAAGGTTAATTTCCCTGCAAAGATAATGGTGCGGTAGGTAAGTTAATGCATTCATCATAGGTCGCTCATACATTGGTGAGTTGTCTGAGTGACTTTCCTGGAGTCACAACTAAACTATCTCTTCTGTCGTAACAAGAGGACAGCTGTGGGGGAAACTTGGTTACCTGAATCATCTTGTTGGTCATGCATCATGAAAAGGAGTGTTAATGTCCTCTGTGGTCAAATATGCAGTTTTCTCCACTGTTGATTAGTTGGAACTTCTTTTTTCAAATCTCCATTGGGATGTTGGGCTGAATTATGTCCTTTGATTCTGTACCATTGTTTGAATTTTGCTCAGTTGATATGCGGCCTCACCACATTATCTGGCCGTGTACTGCCATTTCAAAATATTTACAACCATAAAAGTTGATCTATTTGACTGTGAATTCTGAATTGTACTTAGAAGCTATTGATTTTGTGATTTCAAACATGAATAATTCTATCTCCTTTATTCCTGATAAAGAATCCTGGCCGTTTCTCTATTTATATCTTAATCTCATTAATACCAGGACTTCCCAATACCTTTATGATCATATGGAACAAAAGGTCCAAATAGGTTATCAACAATTATTCTATTTCAAATAATAAAAAAGACCCCAAAATATTTGTAAATCAGAAGCACTTCTGTGCAACTGGATTGTTATTGCAGGAGTAAATTACAGCAGATTCTGGAATCTGTACTGAAAGCAAAAAATGCTGGAGATCACAGCATTCATAGAGACAAAGCAAGCAAACGTTTCAAATCCAGGTCTGAAACAAAGTCTCATGAAGCTTCTATTCCAAAAAGGAAAAATGCATTAAGATCCAGCAAATGAATATACACTGGCAGCTCAGTCATTTAACAGAAGATCTCAAAATGCTGTATCAAACTTGCCAAATTCAATAGCACTGAACTAAGACAACTACTCAGATTTGAAAACCTTTCCTTAATGTCATCATTTTAAAAAGTATTGCTAAGTTGCTACAGTTTGATACTTTTGTCAAAGACATAATCAAATGCAGGCCTTTTAAATTTCAGTATATGGTATTAAATCCTGTAACATTTACCTCTATAGTGTTAATTTGTCCCAGGTCTTCTCTCCTGCCCCCTCTTACTGCATTTCAGAAGAGAGAGAAAAATAAAAAAAGAAAAATAATAGAAAAAAATCAAGGAAATTCAGGCTTGTTTAAATAATTATCTATCTGAGTGTTGTATGCAATCTGAATTGCATTTACAGAAAATGATTGTAGCCAACAGGTGTCATGATTCACAACTGAAAAAACACAGGAATGTGATGGAATACTCCCCATTTGCCTGGACAAATGCAGCTTCAGCAACATTTTAGTAGCTTGACACCATCCAGGATAAAGCAACCTACTTGATTGACACGGCATCCATAGAAACCATTACTGAGAATAATCATTAAACATAAGACTATTTCAATTAGAAACCTCAATGCTAAAAACTAAATTATTTGCTTCTCTTTTGAATCCACAGCTTGCAATAGAGCAAAAAATAATACAAACTTCACACTTCATTAGAGACAAACTCTATAATATATTCAAAAGCCAGCACTATTTCTGGATGAGTTTGTTTTCAGCTCTTATAATAGGAACTGGATATAAACATATTCACCATGTTCGGTGAATATGTTTAGACCCCTGTTAATGGGTTTTAACATTCGGTGCGACTATTTGGGATTAGCTTTAGGTGTAAGGTGGAAATTACAATTGACTTGTTCTGAATTTGTTTTAAATCACAGAGCTCAGAACTACAAATGCACTTGATAATTCTGAGTATTTGAGTTAAGGCAAGTCTTTATAATGAATTATGTTTCCTGGCTACAGAGCTAATCACTATCCAGCAGGACATTGCAGATGTGAATCGTCAATATGAAAAGGTGGGAGGTTTGCTGAAGGACAAGGAGAATCAGTTGGAAACTATGCTGGCTCAGAGACAGCAAATTCAAGAAGAAGCCAATTTGGTCAAGGAATGGTTGGAGTCGATGGATAAAAGAGCAGCATCATGGGATACATTGCCAACTGAGACTGAAGCCATAAAGGAACAAGTTGAACAGCAAAAGGTATGTCTGATATAAAACGAATGTTTGTTCCAGTTAAAGATATGAATGGAATGCCAAACTGTGATTAAGTAATCTCGTTTTTAAATAAACCTTTTTAAAGCTGAATCTCATAATAAAATTTATTGAGTTGATAATTTCCAAAGTAGGGAGTCTCATGGGCTTGTATCACTAATTTAGCTTTTCCCTGCACCCTTCAACTTAATTTGTTTACCCTGTAAGTTGCTGACAGTGATTTGATTTAAGTTGATTTGATTTATGGTTGTCACATGCACCTAAGTACAGTGAAAGGTTTTGTTTTGCATGCAGTACAGGCAAATCATAGCAAACAAGGACATACAGATCATAAGAGTGCTTAGACAGAACAAGGCATACAAGGTTACGGCTGCACAGGAAGTGCACAAAAGCAAGGTCAACATTAGATTTGGGAGCTGGTAACAATGTAGTGGAAGGTATCAGGAGCTTTTGGACCTGATGAATAACAAAACCAACAGATTATCTTAGGAAACAATAACATTTTTGATTGAGAAAAGCACAGAAGCAATGGAGAAGAAAGGTGGGTAAATTAGAGTTAAATCAGACAGAGAGAGAAATCCAGAGATGAAGAAAAAAAGTGGATTAAGAAAGAGCAAAAGAGACAGAACAGAAAATAGGGAAAAAATGTAAAATTTGGAATTTTAACATTTCTAGTAGTTGACTGTCTACAGGAATGAGATTGCACATTTCAGTTGTTTTGTTTCTGGGCCACGGTTTGATTGACATTTCATTAACAATTGGCACATTGTTAAAGAAGTATTTACACTCTATTATCTGTCCTTACTTATAATGGTGAGGTTAATAGATAATTAATGTCCAAAGTCAGCAATTCTTAAATGTAGTAAGATAGCTAAGGGGAAAATCTTGGTTGTGCAAACCAGAGAGTGTAGTGATGTCAATCTACCAACAAGACTTGATACCTAAGCATAGATGAGTCATAACATGTCTGAATAGGTTGATTAAAAATATGTATCTGTAGTTTCTGACTAATTAATTCTGACAAGTCTATTAAAAAAAACAGTGTGCATTGTTGCAGTTTTGTTTTCCACAACAATCTAGCTCATTAAATAATTGCTAGTCAACCTGGACGTCCCATTTTAATGTGGCTTGATCATCTTTAACCTGCAGTCATTTTAACCTGCTTTGGATACAATTAGTTATGATGCATTGATAATGCTGAAGGTAAAATTACTAGGGTATTGTGACCATGAATAAGATGTGGATTTGATAAATTTGCTGCAAAACATTTCCTGATCCTTCCTTGGCAATCCCAGGGAAGAATAGTAGAATGGAGGTGGTACTGGAAAAAATACATTGCAGTGTCTGTCTCAGCACTGATAACTGCATACTGCACACCAAGTTTCATATTGAAATCTGCTGTGACCAGCGCTCCATGCACAAGCACAATGGATGTGGTAGGATGATTAAGTGAGGGCCCTCCTCACTTACCAATCCCCATCCCCACTTCCTACCTACACACACCTTGACTAGCTTCATCCCCGCCTCCTTGATCTCTCTGTCTTCTCTCCCACCTATCTGCTCCACAATCTACCTGCTATCACTGCCACCCACCTCTCTATTTATTTCAGAGCCCCCTTCCCCTCCCCCATTTCTGAAGAAGGGTCCCGACCTGAAACATCAGCTTTCCTGCTCTTCTGATGTTGCCTGGCCTGCTGTGTTCCTCCAGCTCCACACCTTGTTATCTCAGACTCCAGCATCAGCAGTTCCTACTATCTCTGCAGGAGTTCCTCAGGGTAGTGTCTCAGGCCCAAACATCTTCAGCTGTTTCATCAATGTCCTTCCCTCCATCATAAGGTCAGAAGTGGGGATGTTCGCCAATGATTGCAAAGTGTTCAGTACTATTCATGACTCCTCAGATACTGAAGCAATCCATATTCAAATGCAACAAGATCTAGGAAATATCCAGTTTTGGACTGACGAGTGGCAAATAGCATTCTTGTCAAACAAATGCCAGGCTATGACCATCTCCTATAAGAGACAATCTAACCATCATCTCTTGTCATTCAATGGTGTTAGCATCATTGAATCACCCCACTGTCAACATCCTGGTGGTTATCATTGATGAGAAACTCAACTGGACTCACCACATAAACACAGTGGCTACAAAAGCAGATCAGAGGCTAGAAATAATGCAGCAAGTAACTCACTTCCTGACTTCCCAAAGCCTGTCCATCATCTACAAGACACAAGTCAGGAGTGTGATGGAATACTTCCCACTTGCCTGGATGATTACAGCCCCAACAACACTCAAGGAGTTTGACACCATTCAGGACAAAGCAGCCTGCTTGATTGGCAACACAGTCCCTGCACCATCGATGCTCAGTAGCAGCAGTGTCTACTATCCAAGATGTGCTACAGAAATTGTCAAAGATTCTTAAAGAGCTTCCAAACGCATGACCACTTTGATCAAAAAGAAAAGGGCAGCAAGTGCATGGGTAGACCACCACCACCTGCAAGCTCCCCTCCAAGTCATTCACAATCCTGACTTGGAATTGCCATTCCATCACTGTCACAGGGTCAAAATCCTAAAATTACCTCTATAAGGACATTGTGGGTCAAACTACAGCAGGTGTAATGCAGCATTTCAAGACGGCAGCTCACCACCGCCTTCTCAAGGGCAACTAGGGTCGGGCAATAAATGCTGGTCAGCTGGCAAATCCCATGTCCCATGAGTAAATAAAAAGAAAAATTACTCGCCGACTTTTATGTTCAATGCCACAACCGATGAAGGCAAGCATACTATCTGCCTTCTTTACCACTTTATCCACTGGTGTTGCCAATTTCAGGGAGTTATGGACTTGCACTCCTAGGTCCCCGTGTATATTAAAAATACTGAGGGTCCTACCATTTACTGTATACATTCCTCTTGCATTTGACCTCCAAAAATGTAACACCTCACACTGGTCCAGATTGAACTCTAATTTCTCCGCTCAACTTTCCAACTGATCTATATCCAACTGACCTTGCTCACTATCCATAACTCCTCCAATTTTCATGTTGTCTGCAAACTTACAATCAGACTACCTAAATTTTCACCCAAATTATTTATGTATATTACAAATAACAGAGGTCCCAGCACTGATCCTTGCACTGGTCAGAGACCTCCAATCAAAAAAGCACTCCTCCACAATTATCTCTAGCCTTTGTATCCCAGTAAGTGTTATCCTGCTGTGCCTGAGTTTGGAATAATCCAGAAAAAGTGGCTGGGCTCAGTGTTACATTGCTCTAAAGCAGTTAATGGTGGTTGTCATATAATGGTACTGTTGTAGAGAGCAGAGTATTGTCAAGACACTATCCAATAAAATCTGCTCATATGGATCCACCTCTCAAACTGAAGGTTTTTTCAATATGACTGAATTATCCATTGCTTCATGTTGGTGAACTAGCTGTTCTTTTTGACCAAATGAACTTATATGAACGTAATAATCGCAATGTCCCTAAACACATAACAGTCATTGTTGTAATGTACAAAATGTTAACAGCCACCTTGAACACAACCAATTCCCACAAATAGCAATCCGATAATGACCAGATAATCTGTTTTAGCAATGCAGAGTACACTCATAGTAACACTTTGGAGTTGGGTATGGTATACAAAGAAAGTAAATTTAGATCAACCTTTTGGAGAAGTTATGACATATTCCAGCCTAGGTGGGACTTGAGCTTGGAGCTTCTGATCCAGAGATCAGTTCCTTACCACTGTGCAACTCTGATGTACAAATTACCTATAATCCTTATGGTTCAGTTTGACAGAGGTCAATAATCAAGACTTGTCAGCTTATAGCCTAATATTCAAGGATTCTTGGTTCAAATTACATGAACATTTTCAAAGGATAGGTGACTTGGCAGTGTAGCACATGGATGTGGAGTGTTACGCAGACTGAAAAACAGATTTAGTATTAATGTTATTAATATCTTTAACCGCACTCCCCCAAAGGTATCTCCATCTAACATCTTCTATCTTATCGTGCACATGGTAATTAAAGATAGTTTTAATTTAAACTTACATACAATCTTTATATCCATACTTTAAAAAATGGATATACAAATAAATATATATGATGAAGATTATACTCTCATTCCAGTATGATTTTGCAACAGGATGGGATGCCTTTACCTCAATCTGTAGTCAAAGGTCTTAATATCAGGACCTCCATTCCCAACAGTCAACCTGTGACCTGCATTCATGTTATTTTTCTTTCATTATAGCTTTAACACTTGCTGTTGTAACCCTCCAAAACAAGCTGTCATTGCTAAATACTACAGTGAGAAAAGACAGTTCTTGACTATAATAATGGCCCCTTCTTTCAAGAGGTCCAGTTTGGAGTAAGCTATCAGACAGGTGCTCAATTATCAAGGGCCAGTAGTAAGGCCATTTCACACTTTATTCTCTCTGCAATACTATCAGAGAGCTTGTTCTTGGCAAAAATTTCAAATCCTCCTCCTGCTTCAATTCTGCTTTAAATCTCACACCTCAAATGCTGGATTAATTTGGTGATTCCCTTAACACTAATTGCTCAGTTCATTAGGTTTTGTTCTCCATCACTTCATTGTTTCAAACAGAAAGTGGAAGTAGCACAGCTGTTCAAACTTTGCTGGTTGAAGAGCTAAAACAAAAATTGTGAGGATGGAGGAACTTTTATGGCAATTGGAACAGAATTGAGAACATTTTTTACAAAGTGAATTGTTGGAATGTAAACCCTTAAAGGGTGGTGGAAACAGATTTAAAAGTAAATTTCAAAAGGCAATTGGTTAACTTAATTGGGGTAAGACTGCCGAAAGCTCCAGCAAAAAAGAATTTTGGTGTCCTCCAGTATGGATCACAAAAAAGCTAGCATAGAAATACCACTGGTAATAGGGGAGAGAAATGGGCTTTAGGCATTCAGAGTGAATGAAGTATAAAAAAAGAAAGAGGTCTTGTTAAATCTACAAAAGGCATTAGTTTGACCACACTTAGAAAGCTGTGAATAGTTTGATCATCTTATTAAAGCAAAGATATACTGACATTGGAGGCAGTCCAGAGAAGGTTCACTTGGTTGATAAGGAAAGATTGTCTTATGAGGAAAGGCTTGACTAGTTCGGGCTTGTATTCATTGGAATTTAGAAGAATAAGAGGCAATCTTATTGAAACGCATAATATTCCTAGGAAACCCGACAGGATAGATAGGAAAGAGATAGTAGGAACTGCAGATGCTGGAGAATCTGACATAAC